CACGGAGCGGCTGGACCTGTGAGCCATGGTTGCTGAACCTGTGCATCCGGAGCCTGTGCTCCACAACGGGAGAGGCCACAACAGTGAGAGGCCCGTGTACCACAAAAAAAAAAAAAAACTAGTTGATGTACCGAAGGGTAATAAAACTGTAACTTTTGCAGTTATGATTTCTATCAGACCAAAATAATTTATGTCTCTACTGGACAAAAATTTATTTGCAACTTTTCAATCTGTAATTTACATCTAATTTCGTGGAGTCTGGCCCAAATCAACAGTGACTAGTAAATCCAACAAAGGATCATTTCCCTAGAGAATTAAGTAATCTTTGGGTGGACCTCTTAGACAATACTTTATGTGACATTGAAAGGACGCACAGCCATTCTTCTGCATTGTTTCCAAGTTTTGGATAATATTTGTTAATAGTATAAATGCTATCGCTTATGTATTCTTTTGCACCTTGGTGTTTCACTCAGTACAGTTTGGGAGATTTAGTCATGTGAATGCGTGTGTTTCTAATTTCACGAATTCATTGTTGTATGTTAGTCTGTGTAAGCACATTACAATTTATTTATCCATTCTCCTGCTGAAGCACATTTAAGTTGCTTCCAGTATTTTACAAACAACTCTTGTATGTTTTGTCAAACAATGATTTTGCCTCTTTTATCAACATTTAACTCATTCTTTGTTCTAAGACTAAGCATACAGTTGTAATTATAATCTTATATTTGAAAAATATAAGATAAATGAAATATGTTCCAAAACATTATAAATCTTTTTTTTTTCATTATTTACCATACATTTTTGGTCCCAATTTTAAATGGACTTACTGTAAGTAGCTCTTTTCCCATACCAGTTACTGGTACTAGATGTATACACCTAAATTCAAAATAGTAGTTTCAAGATAAAGGAGTTTGATGTGGAATGGTCACAGTGGGGGGTTCATCTGTTTGGGTTATATTTTGTTTCTTAATATAGGAGGTAGGCACATGGAATTTATACCAAGGAATGTCTGTCTCCAGCCCAGTTTCTGTTACATGAGACCATATAATTATCAATTAAACTGAATCTCTTTTGAAAGTGATGTAGGCAATATTAATAATTGCTTGACAACCACAGGTATAAACTGGAAACTCTCACAGGCAGAAGGTGATACATGCACACTAGATTAAAGACAAAACAGCCACAATATTTTGCAGCTCCTCCCATCGAAAGCTGGAGTCTGTTTTTTCAACCTGAGAATCTGGGCTCGGCCATGGGTCTGTCCTTAAGCAACAAGATATTGGCAAATGTGAGTGGCTTGAAATGTGCTTGTGAATTAAAGTTGTCCTCTCTTGCTACTGGAAGCCTATCCACCACTGCATGATCAAGCCCAGGCTAGCCTTCTGGAAGATGAGAGGTCCCAGCCATGCCAGCTGAGACCCTCAAAATGTGAGGGTCTAGACCATCCAGCCCCAGCTGAGCTAGCTCAGACATAAGAATAGTCCAACCAACCCACAAAAACATGAGAAATAATAAATATTTGTTTGTTGTGCAACAAAAGCTAATGGATGCATATTGTCACATTTCATAAGAGACACCTGCTAAATGTGGGTTTTCGTTCTTCCTTTTCTTGAAACACTCATTCTCATGTCTATACGGTGACTAAAAAAATGCCTTAAGGTACTGATCATGTGAGTGTATTTTTTTAAGTAACAGCATTAAGATACAGTTCATATACCATAAAGTATACAATTCAGTGTTTTTTAGTATACTCACAAAGTTGTATAACCATCAGCACTATCTAATTCCAGAACATTTTCACCCCAAAAAGCAACTCCATACTCATTGGCTGTCATTTCCCATTCCCCACCCCTTTCCCCTACCCAGCCCCTGGCAACCAATAATCTGCTTTCTGTCTCTGATTTTGCCTATTCGGGGTATGTCATATAAATGAAATCATACAATTTGTGGTCTTTTGTGAATGACTTCTTTAACTTGGCATAATTTTTTCAAGGTTTATCCATACTGTAGCATCTCTCAGAACTTCATTCCTTTTTATGGCTGCTTAATATTCCATTGTATGGATATACCACATTCTGTTTATTCATTCGTTAGCTGATGGATATTTGGTTTGTTTCTACTTTTTGGCTATTGTGAGTAATGTTGCTATGAACATTTGTGTACAAGTTTTTGTTTGGACATATGTTTTCAATTTTCTTGGGTATATACCATGAAATATGTATGGGTCATATGGTAACTCTATGTTTAACATTTTGAGTAACTACTAAACTCTCTTCCAAAGTGGATGTACCATTTGCATTCTCACAGAAATGTATGAGGGTTCTAATTTCTCCACATCCTTGTCAACACTTGTTATTGCCCATCGTTTTTGTCTTAGCCAACCGAGTGGATGTGAAGTGGTATCTCATTGTGATTTTGTCTTGTATTTCTCTAATCACTAATAATATCAAGCATCTTTTCATGTTTTTATTGGCCATTTGCATGTCTTCTTTGGAGAAATGTCTATTCAAATTCTTTGTCCATATTTTAATTTTGTTATTTGTCTTTTTATTGTTGAGTTGTAAGAGTTTTTCTTTTTTTTTTAACATATTCTAGATACCAAATGCTCATCAGATATATTATTTGAAAATATATTCTCCCATTCTATGTGCTGTCTTTTCACTTTCTTGATGGTGTCCTTTGAAGCATGGAAGTTTTTTATTTTGATGAAGTCTACTTTATTTCTTCTTTTCTTTTTTTATTTTGGTGTCATATCTAAGAAACCATTGCCCAATCCAAGGTCACACAGGTTTATGCTTATGCTTTCTTCTAAGAGTTTTATATATTTAGTTCTTGCATTTAAGTCTGTGATGCATTTTGAGTTAACTTTTGTATATGGTATGAGGTAAGGATCGAGCTTCTTTCTTTTGCAATTGGATATCCCGTTGTCTCAGTTTCACTTGTTAAAAAACTCTATTCTTTCCCGTGTAGAATTGTCTTGGCACTCTTGTTGAAAATCCATGGACAGCAAAAGTAAGGGCTTATTTCTGGACTCCCAATTCTCTTCCATTTGTCCATATATCTATCCTATGCCAATTCCATACTGTCTTGATTATTGTACTTTTTAGTTAGTTTTGAAATTGGGAAGTGTGAATGCTCCAATGTTGTTCTTTGTTTTCAAGATTGTTTTGGCTATTATGGATCCTTTGCATTTCCATGTCAATTTTGGGATCAGATTGTCAGTTTCTACAAAAAGGGCAGTTAAGATTTTGATAGGGATTGCATTAAATCTATAGGTCAATTTGTGGAGTATGGCCTTCTTGACAATATTAAGTCTTCCCATTCATGAAAATAGATGTTTTTCCATTTATTTAAGTCATCTTTAATTTTTCTCACAGCGTGTTTTAGCTTTCAATACAAGTCTTACAGTTCATTTAAAACATTTGTTCATAAGCATATGGTTCTTTTTATGCTATTGTGAGTGGAATTTTCTTAATTTCATTTTTGGTTTGTTCATTGTTAGTGTATAGAAATACAACTGACATGTGTATATTGATCTTGTGTTCTGCAACCTTGCTGATTTATTACTTTTTTAAAAACAAAATTTATTTATTTTTGGCTGCATTGGGTCTCTGTCGCTGCAGGCGGGCTTTCTTTAGTTGCGGTGAGCGGGGCTACTCTTCATTGAGGTGCGCAAGCTTCTCATTCTGGTGGCTTCTCTTGTTGCAGAGCACAGGCTTTAGGGCACACGGGCATCAGTAGTTGTGGCACACAGACTTAGTTGCTCCACGGCATGTTGGATCTTCCCGGACCAGGGCTCGAACTCATGTCTCCTGCACTGGCAGGCAGATTCTTAACCACTGCACCACCAGGGAAGCCCTGACTTATTACCTTTAATAGTTTTGTGTGTCTGTGTGTGTGTGTGTATGTATTCCTTAGGATTTTTTGTATACAAGACTATGTCGTCTATGAATAGAGATAGTTTTACTTTTTCCTTTCTCATGCAATTGTGTTTTGCACAAAGTCTCACCTTTATTTTAGGGAAATCTTTTTCCACTCTCTAAAAGAGTAAATGAGTGTCCCTTGTAGAATTCTCCTTGCCTAAGATCATGAGGTAACTCACCACCTTCTTCCCCCATAATTAAAAAAAAAACAAAACTACACCACTATTCTAAAAGTTAACAACTCTAAACTTGCAAATGAAGACATTTTAAAAGAATATCTGGATCTCCTTTCAAATGTATAATGTATCTTGTTAACTGTGGCTCTCTTTGTTTTCAAAATATTTTCTTGAATTACTTTTCAAACGTACACTATTGCAAATTTTTTTACCTGCAAGTACAAAGGTCTCCCTTTCCTGAAGATCCCAACACAAATTATGGAAAAGTGTGAAGGCTGGAGGATCTTGCATTATATCTACATATCAAAAAGAAACAATAACTGATTTTTAAGACTTGAGATGAGGTAGTCACCTAGCTTCTGGTTGGTGGATTCTCCCCCACCCCATCTTCCTGAAGGCATGGTTTCTTAGTAAACAGCAGAAGACATAGTCGAAAGAGCCTGTGATCTTTTTCTACAATAACAATCTTTTATGATCCCAGATGCCCTAACACATAGACACTTCTGTAGTTTGCAGATAAATAATCTTTACACAGTATCAAGATGCTCATCAACGCAGCTCTATAAATTCCTTTAACCCTGTTTCAGTTCAGAAGGACTGTTGTGCAATAATAACACAGAGCTGCAGAATCTTAGTGACTTGTGAACACAAAGGTTTCTTTCTCTCTCTCTGTCTTGTCAATTACAGCTTGCATGGGAGCTCTGCTGCACATCTCCTCACTCAGGTTGATGGAGCCTCCACCATATGGAGCAAAACTAGTTCCACTGTCAGGGGAGGGAGGGTGATAAATCCTAAACCATTCTTAAAGGATTCCTCCAGCAGTAAGACACATCACTTTGAATATGGCCATGCTCAACTTCCAGGTGGCAGAAAAGTGCAATCTCCCATGTGTCCTGATCAGAGTATAAGTGAGCAGCCCTAATGACCTTCAGAGACACTATGGAAAGGAAGACAAGGAAAAGGAACATTTTAAATCTTCAGTGTGTGCTGGCTCTGTGCTGGCTCTGCAGTGTTATTTCATTCATGATGATTGTACCTGGCTGAAAACTCACGCAAGGTCAAAAGGCTGGAAGTAGAAAGCTTAAGGGCTGGGACTTAAATCCACAACACCCAACTCCAAGTCCCACATACCTTTTTCTTTACCATGTTACTTTCTTCTTTGCTAGACTGTCCTGATGTTCCTAAACTATACACAAAAGTAGATGAGGCCCTTGAGTTGGTCAACATATCCAATCAGCAGTATGCCCAGGTTCTCCAGATGACCCAGCATCACTTGGAGGACACTACATACCTGATGGAGAAGATGAGAGAACAGTTTGGCTGGGTGACAGAACTGGCAAACCAGACCCTAGGAACCAAGAACATCTTCAATTTCATAAAGGTAATGGAGAGACTCAAGAGCAGTTATGGAGACTAAGTGTGCATACATTGATTTTTCTGTTAATTTACTTATTAATTACGTCTGAATTTGAAAACAGGCTCTAGAAGGATATTCGTACTTCCATTGTGATTGTACTCAGGCTGACTTGTGCATGGCCTTTAGAAAACAAGAAACTCTATAAAGAAAACCAATTTAAAACACAAAATACTTTCTAATCCAGAGATGGCTAATTCTGCTTAGAGCTATAGTGCTGATACAAGTAACCATGAAGAAACCTGGCCAATGTTGTTTTTAAGGGAGAAGACTTTCAGGTAAAGCAACTTGAGATCAAAGGCTGACTCTGAAACTTACCAGCTGAATAAGTTTGGGAAAGTTCCAGAATCTTTCTAGGCCTCAGTTTTTCCATCTGGAAAATGGGAATAATAATAGCTACCTTAAAATTAATGTCTGTAAAACAATGAGTATAAGTTCCTTATCCAAAACAAGAGCTCTGTAAATTGTAGCTCTCATTTGCTTTTGACACAACAAGCTACTGACTTACCTTGAAAATTAAACACAGTTATATATTAATATTCACATATAAACATTGCTATCTTAAGTTGCACTTATACCATGTCTCCCACTTGCAATCAATAACTCCTGTTGCATAACATAAAATAGTGATTGAATTTCTTCCCTGATGCACCCCCTTCACACACCATATTACATTAATATACGATGCACCAGGCAAGTGATTTCTGATGAGGTTGGTATTGGTGGGCTCCTAAAAAGACCCAGATACAAAAATCACCGGCAGAGCAATTGAAGGTACAATATTTTGTGTAGCATGTAATGTTAACAATCCCCCAGGATCCCTTTACCAACTCCAGCTGGTGCTGCTGCTAACTGCTCACCCCTGAAATCTTCTCCAAAGGGTTGTCCTTGGGGCCACTTATGCTCCAGAGCTCCCTGCAGGATCAGGCTGAGGCTGGAGGTCACCTGAAGGCCACCTCCCAGATTAGCATCTCCCTCTTCTGTATCTTGCTCGCCTCATCCCCCTAAAAGTTTTACTGAAAACACCCTTAATAAATAACTGTGTCAGAATCTCAGGCTCTGCTTCTAGGCAGTCTGACCTAAGACATTCTGTATCCTAGTGATTCACTCTCTTTCAAGGTACAAGGTTGTGGTTTGAGAAATAAGTTTAGAGAGTCACAACCAGCACATTAAACAAACAAACAAAAGCAGAATAGAACACACCAGAAGAAAAAATATTAGAGTGCATTGCATTTAATAAGTCAGATGCATATGTCATGGAACTTTCATTTCCATGATGTGTGTTTATATATGTGTGTAACTTATATGTAAGATGTGGTTTATTTTCTTTTTCTATTTGAGTATAGTCGATTTACAATGTTGCATTAGTTTCAGGTGTACAACAAAGTTATTCAGTTATATATATGTCAATATATTCTTTTATATATACATTCTTTTTCAGATTCTTTGCCATTATAAGTTATTACAAGATATTGAATGTAGTTCCCTGTGCTATACAGGGTCCTTGTTGTTTATCTATTTTATATATAGTGGTATGTATCTGTTAATCCCAGACTCCTAATTTATCCCTCTGCCGCCTTTCCCCTTTGGTAACCCTAAGTTTGTTTTCTAAGAAATGTGTGTTTTTGAGTCATGATGACAAATGTGTTTATAACTGTAGACCATAGTCAAAAGGTTTTGAAAGCCACTATCAATTCCTGCTGACTCTCTATTACTTCATTAGATAGATCATTCCCTAGGAGAGTAAAATAATGTGATATATTTGATCATTCTCACAAATATAGACTTTTAGTTTAAAGAGGAAAAATTCTTGTAAGGAATGAGGGAAAGAATAAAATTTTAAGAAAAATTTTAGCAATGCTTTCAATCTTTAGAAAAGTAGAGCCAATATTTAACTGTTTTTATCGTCGTCAGGATTTCCATTCTATGCTTCAATTTGCTTCCATTCTAGTGGCTCTGAGTAACATTAATTGATTTAACTAAAATTTTTGATATTGATAACAAAGACACTTCTATACAAAAAACTCCATAGAAAATAAAATTATGGTTTTCAATGGTATATTTTTCTAATAATAATCACTGCTAAAGAGCACTCAATATTTGTCTGGCAATGTTCTAAGAACTTTTCCCGTGTATTAGATCATTTAATACTCTGTGTTCCTATAAGGTGAGTATGATTGTTTTACAGATTTTTCAGATGAGGTACAGAGAAGTTAAACAACTTGTCTGAGGTCGCACAGCTAGTAAATGGTAGAACTGAGATTCAAGGCCAAACAGCTTTTCTTCAGAATCCTTGGACTTAACCACTTTGCTGAACCGCTTGTAAAACTTATTTTTCTTTAAACGGCTCTTATTTCATCATGTAATGGAAAGTGCAAATTTGTAAAACAGCACACACTGAAGAGGAATCTTTTGTAAAAAAATATACAAATTCCAGCAGGTGAAAAAAGTTATGCTTTTTAGGTTGTAGTTACATGTTAGCGTTATAATTGTTTATTCAACTAGATGTAAACGCTTTATGCAGTTTTTATGTGTGTTACATGTATCAAAAGGAAAAGGGGGAAAGTTATGTTAGCTTTATAAACTAGAATTAAGAAATCACCAGTGTTGATTTGGCTTCTTAATATTCTGCTTTAGTTTTTTTGATAGGGAAATTTATTTGAACACATTTTCAAAATAGTTCTTTTTTTATATAAATTTATTTATTTTATTTTTGGCTGCATTGGGTCTTTGTTGCTGTGCGCAGGCTTTCTCTAGTTGCGGCGAGCAGGGACTGCTCTTTTTTACGGTGCGTGGGCTTCTCATTGCAGTGGCTTCTCTTGTGGAGCACAGGCTCTAGGCACATGGGCTTCAGTAGTTGTGGCACATGGGCTCAGTAGTTGTGGCTCGCAGGCTCCAGAGCACAGGCTCAGTAGTTGTGGCGCACGGGCTTAGTTGCTCCGCGGCATGTGGGATCTTCCTGGACCAGGGCTCAAACCCATGTCCCCTGCATTGGCAGGCAGATTCTTCTCCTATTTTTATTTTATTTTATTAATGTTTTGGCCACACCATGGGGCATGCAGGATCTTAGTTCCCCAACCAGGGATTGAACCTGCATCGCCTGCAGTGGAAGTGCAGAGTCTTAACCACTGGACCGCCAGGGAAGTCTCTCTGGCAGGCAGATTCTTAACCACTGTGCCACCAGGGAAGCCCCAAAATAGTTCTCTTAAGGTTACATCAAGTTGCATGTCATTACAGTTTCTTTTAAATTATTAAAATCAAAGTATATGCCCTTGAGAACTTATTAAGAAAGTAAACGACATGCATTTCAGATGACTGGTTCTTACAAAAATCACACATACAACCATAAATTGTAAATTTCCTGTGGAAACTCAGTACAAAACTTGGTACATCACATTAATATTTGTGACAGACAGTAGCGCTCACCAAATATTCCATCCGCTCACTCACACTTTCTTGCTCCTCTTGCAGTTAAGTGGTGCCATGTGTTAAGTTCTGGCCAATGAAATGGGAACAAAAATGAAAAGAGTTATTTCTAGACTGAGATAGAGAAGAACCTGTGTGTGATTATCCATTCTCTTTCTCTGATGAGGATGTAAAGAAAGCCATGCGTTATTACATGTGCTACAGCACATGTGAGATGATGTTCCTTTCTCAGCCAGGGTCCTGAGCATCTAGGTGGTTCAGAGCCCTTGTAATGGGCATGTAACATGAGTGAAAAATAAATTATAAGAAGCCACTGGAATGCTGGGGCTAATTTGTTACCTCAGCACAACTTAGCCTATCCTGACTAATGTGGTATTAAATTAATGCTCAGTGTGTGCTGGAATTTAGTAATCTTTTGTTGTATAATCCTTCTTCTTAGGTAGTTCCAGGTGTTCATGAAGGAAATTTTTCCAAACGAGATGTAACGATGACAGAGGTAAGCATTCTGCCTTCCCCTAATTTCACACTCACCATCCCTCATGAAGAAAGTGCTGAGAGTTCTAACTTCATTAGCTACATGCTGGCCAAAGTTGTACAGCAGTTTAAGGAACATTTTAAATCTTGGTAAGCAGAGTGTTTGGTTAGGAATGCTTGTCAACAGGAATAGATGATTCATAAAAGGGAAAAATGACAAAACTAGTTTTAAAATACCTTGAAAATATATTCAACCTCATTAATAATCAAAGACATGAAAACTAAGACAAGATAGCAAATTTTGCCTATTAAATTTGCAAATTAAAAAAAACCCTGATAGGATGTGATGAAATGAGAATTCCCATATGTTATTGCCGGGAACGTAAACTGTTTTTGCCTTTTTGAAAAGCTATTCAATTATACATATCAAGAGTCATAAAATTTCTTTTTGATACATTAATTCCACTTCTGGGATCAATCAGAAGGAATAAATCTAAATTTGAATAAAAGTTCCTACCCCAAGATCTATATTTGCAAAATTATTTAAAATGTTAAAAACAATCTGAACATCTAAAAATAAGAAAATGGTTAAAAGATTATGGCTAAATATGCTCAGTAAGTCTTATGAAACCATTAAAGATATTTATAAAATTTAAATCATAACATGACAACTACTGGAACAAGGGTTTATTCTAAGCCTATCTGTGAGGTAGATATTATTATTACCATTTTCCAGAAAGGGAACTTGAGACTCAGGATCCAAGGTTAAATGAATTATTCAAGTCAGCAGGTGGTAGAGCCAAATTTTAACTCAGTTCTCTCTGACTCAAAATTGCCACATTATACTGGTTCCTGTTAGGACATTTGGTCAAAAAAAAAAAAAAAAAGTACAAAACTATAAATGTAATGATCAAAAAAATCTAAAATCTACATTAAAAATAAAAAGGATTGTCAGGAATTACAATGGGAAATGGATGATTTATTTTAAAAACTTTCCATTTTCTGATATTTTTACAATTTTCTGTAGTGAATAAATAATTTTAAGATTTCAAATTAGAAGATGTTATTTTGCTAAAATAGCTAGGTAAATGTAGATTGAACCGTATCAATGTGTTCCGCATCTCTAAACCTAGTATAAGTACTTCCATTCCATGATAATCCTACATTGAGATAAAATGTAAATCTATTAAGTCTGCAGAGAAAATAAATGAATGACATTTCAGGCATACATTAGTCACCATCTCTGTTAAACTTAGGATGATCTAAATTAGTGGCACAATTAAAACTGTACATAACAGTCTCCTTTGGTAACATGATCAATCTTAAAAGAATAATTTTTAATTTTAAGTTATTATTCATAAGGGATCTTGTTAGTAGGTCACCATCAGTGTATAATTAAGCTGGATATTACTGGATTTGCTGCCTCTCCCTTTACCTCTGAATTTTGGAGAAGTTTCTGTTCAAGTTACATCAATCAACCAATATCTTTTTAGCATCTACTAAGTGAAGGCACAAGACCCAGGTACGGTGGAGGAGAAAATGATGAATTTGAGAGATACAAGACACACAGAACAGTAATAGGAGGCAGCATTTAGTGAGTGCCCAAGGGGGCCCTCTAGGAGTTGAGGGGAGTGTCTTTACTTTACCATGGAGGAGAAACTTCTCAGTGTGGTACATTTCCATTTTTTTCCTCTTCGTTTTCCATCGGTCTTCTATCCCCCTCATATTTTCCTCTTCTTTTCTCTTTCCCTCCCTCCTTCCCTCCCTCCCCCCTCTCTTCTCCCTTCATCCCCCACCAAAATATATATGATATATATCATATATATGTTTGATCATATATATATGATCAAATAATATATTTGATCATATGTGCATATATATATATGGTCAAAATATAAAGGTGAGAATATTCCAAAAAAGATTCCAAAAATAGGGGAAAATGTGAGCAAATGGGGCCAGAAAGACAGGAGTGTCTAGATACTAGGGATGCTGAGAAGTCCTATTAAACGATCTAGGGCCCTTTGCACCTCCCTGTATCCAGGAACCTCCCCCATATGAGTTTGTGTTCTTTCCTCACTTGTAAGCATGGAAGGGGGCTTCCCTGGTGGCGCAGTGGTTAAGAATCCGCCTCCCAATGCAGGGGACACAGGTTTGAGCCCTGGTTCGGGAAGATCCCACATGCCGCAGAGCAACTAAGCCCATGCACCACAACTACTGAGCCTGAGCTCTAGAGCCTGCGAGCCACAACCACTGAGCCCACAAGCCACAACTACTGAAGCCCATGTGCCTAGAGCCCATGCTCCGCAACAAAGAGAAGCCACTGCAGTGAGAAGCCCGCGCACCGCGATGAAGAGTAGCCCCCGCTCACCACAACTAGAGAAAGCCCGCGTGCAGCAACGAAGACACAACGCAGCCACAAATAAATAAACAAAACATAAATAAATTTATTTTAAAAAAAGAATATAGGAAGGGCTTAAACACCTTCCAATATTCTATATATATATATATAAAAAAAAAAGACATGGAAGAATACTGTCTGCCTCACAAAATGAGTGGGGAAGCTGGGCAGCTGTGCCTAGGGCTCAAACTCAGTGGGCCACAGTGAGACACTGCAGGATTTTGAGGGAAGAAACAGTGTGCTAGTGTTCAAATGGGTATTGATGATTTATTTATGACTGAATAATAAATATATTTTCAATAAAATCTTTTCACAGATTTTGGAATGAAGAGGCTGCAATGACAATGGAAAATATGTTGAAAAATTGAGATAGTGAACAAATTATTTACTAATATGGCTCACAAAATGATCTTTCATAAAGGCAGTATTAATTTTTTTCTTTTTAATTTATAGTTCTTTAATTCTAAAAGTAACAAAATCACAAATTCCAAAACTTTATTTATTTTTCTTTTAATTTTTTTTTTTTTTTTTTGCCATTCCACCCAGCTTGCGGGATCTTAGTTCCCCCATCAGGGATCAAACCCAGGCCCCAGCAATGAGAGCACGGAGTCCTAACCATTGAACTGCCAGGGAATTCCCCCCAAAATTTAGAAGACAAAGATTATCCACAGTCCCACCATCTTCACAAAACTGTTATCATCTTACTATTTTTTCTTATTCACATTTTCCACTTATTTTCTTAGATGGATTCCAAAAAATTGAATTATTTGTTTAAAGGTTAACATTTTATTGATATATATTGCCAAATTTGATAGCAGCAATGTCTAAAGTACTACTTTCTCATATCCTAACATTTCAATTTAAAAAAATCTTTACTAATAAATGAAAACTTTTCTTACTATTACAACTTTTATGTTTTTGATTATAATGTACATTTTTCCAAGTTTGCTTACTACCTGAATTTCTTCTTTTGTGCATCCTATTTAATTCAGTGGGTAAGACTTTGTGTGTTTTGATTAGATCAACATACCAAGCTCTCAAACCTGCCAACAGTGAAATAGCAACATACTAAGGAAAGTAACAGGAAAGATGGGGGAAAAGAATCACCCTGTCATTTCCATTCAAATATATGAATATTTGTTAGGCCCTTACTCCAAGAATGTAGCTCGTTAAAACATGAATCCCAATTTTGTAGGGTAGAACATATATTAAGAACCCTCTGGAATTCTCATCTAGTCATCTAGCATCCTAAATGCCTAACTTTATTGATTGGTTTGGGATGTGTTTATTTCCCTATTCCAGACTTTCACAGCTGTGACTGTGGTTGGGATCCACAGTTACAGGCTGTAACAGAATGTCTTGCACATCCCAAGTATCCAATAAGCATTTGGTGATTGGTTCTTACCATCATTATCAGAATGAAAGGCACACAAAGGGAAGAAACAACTTGAATAAAGTAATGTGTCGTAAACAGTAGAAGTTTATCGAACAAGTACTATGTGCATGTAGAATACAGAATGAGTATCTTCACATCAGAGGCAGGGGCCATTGTAGAGGTTTAATAATCCAGGGTTACTGAGAAGATCCCTTTGAATAGTGTTATTAAAAATATCCATACAGATGAGTTTTCTGTTATTTTGCTATGTATTAATTTTTTCAAAAGCCAAGGGTATTTATTCTGTCACTCATTCCGGACTTTATTCCAAGAAAAATGCACTCAGTCTATAAGTAATTTATTAATATTTTGATTATTGATGCTTTTTTAAGGTAAGAACTGATGCATCCTATATGCGGCAAGTAGAATTACCTCTTCAGCTGAGACCTGAAAATCCAGAAATACATAAGATAATGCAGGAAATGTAGCTGCAGGAGAGTATGTCAGTTATATATTGTAAAGTACTGTTAATTGTCTTACATTGAATGGCAGTTTAATAACTTCAAATTGAGTTAAAATGAAAATTCCTTTTTAAAAAATCAAATGTAAATATTACTGTATTCTATGGTATATTCATAGTTTGTATATTAAATATTAAATCACCAAGGGGTCTGTGTTCTATCACTTCTACTACAAATGTGCCACTTTCTAATTAACAAAGATTCTTTTTTTCAATTTGCTTTTACAATATAAAATATTTGACTTCTTGAAAAAAATCTGTAATTCATTCCTTTGTTTAGGAAAGATCTATAGCTTCTGCATAGATTTTTTTTTTGTGGTAAAATATGCATAACAAAATTTACTATTTTAATCATTTTTAAGTGCACAGTTCAGTAGCATTAAGTAAATTCACAATGTTATGCAACTATCACCATTAACCATCTCCAGAACTTTTTTCATCTTCCTAAACTGAAACTCTGTCCCCATTAAGCAATAACTCCCATTTCTCCCCTGTCCCCCAGCCCTTGACAGCCACGATCTGTCCAACTATGACTACTTTAGGGACCTCAGATAAGTGGAATCATACAGTATTTGTCCTTTTGCAACTGGCTCAGGGTAGTGTCCTCAAGGTTCATCCACGTGGTAGCATATGCTGGAATTCCTTTTCTTTTTAAAGCTGAATACTACTCCATTGTACGTGAGTATCACATTTTGTTTATCCATTCATCTGGAGTTGTTGGACACTTGGGTGGCTTCCTTCTTTTGGCCATAGTGGACAGTGCTGCCATGCATATGCATGTACTGCATAGTTTCTTTTAAAAATTAACACAACAGTGCTCTTTTTTAACAAGGCCATACAGATTTTACATAAAACACAAAGTGTTTTTGACTGACTCTTACTTAACCTCAGAATTTGGACCTTGGTGCAATACAAAAGGAGAATCTTTTGCCAGTATATCTCACTAAGGATTACACTGGGGATATATTTATAGTCAGTCTTTCAAATTATAAAAAGAAATATAAAGAGAGGACTTGAAACCTTTAAAGCATTTTTCACCCAGTTGAGCTATTTGGTAGGAAAGCTTGTCAGAGAGACTTAGAGTTCAAAGGCAGCCCATCGAATATAGTCAATTCCAAATGAAGACAAAGCTGTTTTTATCATAACTGAAGGCTATATTTAAAAGAAAGGATACTATTGATAGAATCCTGGATACCTTAATGTACAGTAAATCTCAAATAAATAGAGCCTATTCAGCCATACATTTGATATATTTGTCAGAGAAGGTGCCAAAAAATAAGTTATAAAGGGAACCTGACTATTTTATAGCCAGTGTGCCATCAAAACCTTGTAGAGTAAAGAAAGGAAAGGAAGATACTGGCCTCAAAGCACCTGGCAGAGAAAAGCCTTCCCATGCAGGCTGACCTGGATTTTAATCCTGGCTGCCAGATTTCATAGGTGTTTGACTAGGCAAGATCCTTAATCTCTCTGAACCTCTGTGTTTTTAATCTATAAAACGATAAAAGTAATAGTTTTTGTTTTATTGGGTAGCTGTGAGAACTACAGTAAATAATCCATAATGATAAGCATCAATCGATGGTAGCTTTGACTATATAAATAATACTATTATTTAGTATCTGACTCATAGTTGGCTCTCAAAAATTTTAGTTTCCTGCTTTCCTTTACCTAATTGTGCCAACATTTTTGAGAATTTGTCGTGTAAAGAAGAATCAATATCCAGACCAATAATATTCAAATGTTCTTGCTCTCATACACACTGAAAAGGAAACTGAAAAATGTATATATGCTCTTGCACATGATTTTTCAATATAAGTTGAAAGAATAGGGAATTTTAATTTTCCCATGTATTGTAAATAGTAGCATCTTTAAAAATATCTCATCCTTTTTTGAAATGTGCCCAATGGAATCTACATATCATGGCAATTTGATATCCAGTATCATCCATTTAAACAAATACACAAGTTTTTCTTTATCAGTAAGAAATTTTATCTCATTCCATTTTCTCCTTAAACTCTTATATTTTCATTCTATTTTCTCCAGAGAATTTTATTCTAATGTAATATATTTTATGCTTAAACATCTTTATTGATCAATAAAATATAAATATTTTTAAATTTTGAAAATTAAAAATTTCCTGGGACACAAAAATCTAGGTATCAAATATTCATTCTGGATTGAGTTATCATTTTAATTTATTACTTGTACATAATTGATCAAAATAAATATATTACACATTTCTATGGCTATTAAACATAAACAGTGAAATTTTTAACAGAAATAGATCTCTTAATGAGAAGAAAAAGCTTTTTTTCCTCCAGTAAGTTAATGGATCCATTAATAATTATTATTTCTTCCTAGAATGAGATAGGATTCAGCATCAATATCATCCTTATTTTGCGTTTTTATAGATGTGAGTGCTGTGAAAGCTGCTGGTGTAATGCATTCGAGGTTAGAATGCTCTTTCCCCAGATCATCCCCTGCTGGTTTCTTCTCACTATTTAGATCTCAGCTCAAATGTGACCTCCTCAGGGAGGCCTCACCTGATGGTGGGATCTAAAGTGCTCTCTCTGAACCTGGTTATGTAATCATCATAGCACTTGTTGCTCTCTGCAGATGTCTTGTTCTCAGATTTAGAAATTGCTCCTCTAGGCTAGAGTGTCCGTTCTGTGAGAGTGACCTTGTCTGTCTTGCTCCTTGGTGACTCGTGGTAGGCACTATGATGTAAACGCTGTTGGATGAATGAATGAATGAATGAATAATAAGCTTGTTTGAGAGGATCATTTGTTTATAGAGCAGCAACCGGGAAGGAAACCGTTCTCTCTCCATTGTCATCAAACCAAGGTCCTCCAAGTACTACAATGGAAGAGGAGTCTCCACACAGGTGGGGGAGTCTACACTTGTGTCCCAAGATTAACCCTGTGGTACAAGTGATATTCAATTGGAACAATTAAACTCAGCTCAAAGTAACAAAAGGGAAATAAACACAGAGAGTTACTGCAACTAGGTAATCTGGGAGATTTTCAGCCTGGGACCAGGCACATGGTTGGAAATGTGTGGAGACACTTTTGCTCGGCGTGGGATTGGGGGAATATCTATCTGCATTTAGTTGGCCTTGCACAGGCACCTACAGCCCTGCGGTAATTAATGTGTGGGACGATCCCTCGCAGCGAAGACTGCACCTCCACATCGCATTTGAGCTTCTCACACCCAGGGGCGCTCTCAAGCTAAGGCAGACAGTCCCCATCCCTGTCTAAAGCCTGTTTTCTGAGTTCAGGTTTCCCACAGAGCAGTCTCTGCCCAAATGACCATCAGAAAAAAAGCCCGCCGCGTCTGGAGACAGCCACCACGTCCACCCCATCCATCCAAGCAGTACAGCGCAACACAGGACGGCCATCATCCCCAAAGCAGATACAGGTGACTTTTTAATACTATTATTACACTGGTGTGGGCGTGGGGGGTGGGATGAGGAAGGTGCTGGGGGAGGGGAAGGATGAATCTAGTTGACCTGGGAAAGGCCAGCCTAGCAGGTGACGGATTAGATAGGTTTAATAGATTAAATATATCTAAAACATCTGCTATCCAGTGCATTTCAGTTTACCCTTTGTGAGCACTCATACAACCAAAGAGCAAGAACATTCCACCCAAAAGAAAACACAAATGTAACATTGTTTTTGCCGAGCAGATTAGGCAGAGCTGCAGGTGAAAGATATTTATCCCCTCCCAGAATGTTTTCCTGTTACAAAAATTCTAACCTTGAGTTTGAGAAGTGCCCTTTAGCAGAAACATTCGAGAATCTTCCACAGGCAATAAAGTTGAGATGGGGGGGAGGAGAGGGGAGAAAAAGGAAAAACCATCGACTTTATTGAATGGAAAGAAATAGTGTTTAGTATGTTTCAGAGAGAGCCCACATCTCCTTCTTGGTAACCCTAGACGCAGCGACATCAAGAAATTTATTGAGCATCTACTATGTGCTCAATAAACAGGTGATTCAAAAGACTGCTGTTGCATGTACATGTATTAGTACCTTTTAAACTCATTATCAAATATTTTCTACCCACCAGTGTTTATATTATAAACGTTACGCTAAAACTGAAAAATTTGGTATTCAAAACTGAAAACGGCTGGCTGTTATTAATCAAGTAAAAAGGCTGCCTTATTCTATTTGCTCCAGCTGCCGGCCTTGAGTGAGGATGGGGGAAAATGGAAATGCAAATCACTTGCAGCAGCCTCCCTCAGTTGTAGGAAACACCTCAGATAACAGGGTTTTGTTTGTTTTTCGATTGCGCGAACACGTGTAAATTGTTTCAGGGTCCCCTTGATCACCGAAAGGTGCGGTCGACCCTGAATCTTTCCAAAGAGGGCGGCCTGTCTCAGGCAACGCACCAAGATACAGCTTTAGGATTTCCTTCTAGGCCAAAGGTTCTTGACTTTTAAAATGCCATAAAGGTTACGCGATTCGGGAAAGCGATCGCGGTCTCAGCTGGCGGCCCAGCGCGCCCATGGGACGCGAGGGGCGGGGCCCCGAGGGGGTCGGGGCGGGGCCAACGTCACCTAAACGTCACAGGAAGAGGCGGAGTCTCATGAGCGGCGGCGGGAAAAGAGGACCGTTGAAAGCGGTGGGCCGCCTCGCCCGCTGCCGCGCTATGCCCGCCGCCGGCTCCGAGCTGCCGCGCCCGATGTCGCCGCCTGCCGCGCAGGAGCAGGGCGCCGAGTCGCGGCCACCGCCGCCGCCGCCGCACGGGGAGCTGCAGTACTTGGGGCAGATCGAGCACATCCTCCGCTGCGGCTTTCGGAAGGATGACCGCACGGGCACCGGCACCCTGTCGGTGTTCGGCATGCAGGCGCGCTACAGCCTGAGAGGTGAGGCGGACGCGCCACGGGGGCGGGAGGGCGGGCGCGTTCCGGACAGGCCGGGCCCTGCGGCCGGCGTTTATTCAACCTCAACCCCGCGAGGAGGGGAAGCGGCCTTGGCCCCACTTTGCAGACGCCGAAACTGAGGCTCGGATTAGAGAGATGACTTGCGTAGGGTCACACGGACTGGAGGGACAGAGGTGGGAGGTAAAACCGGGTCCTCTGGCTCTTAATCACGCAGTTATGCTGTCTCCCCAAAGCGGGCGCGATCCTGCAGCGTTTGCCCCAGATTAGAGGGTGGGAGAGGATCTGCTCGGGCTTGACCGGGGCCTTGGCTGGAGGGCCCCTTTTCTGCCCCTCCTCTTCCCTCCGCGTCTGCTGTTACGCTTTGCAAAGTTTTTAAAAATTGGAGCGAAGATGACGTGGGCGAGGCCGCGTTGGGAGGAGCGAGCCGAAAAGCAGTGGCGGGAACTTGTGGTTCACTACAGTTTTGCCATCTGGTCCCGCGAACCAGCTTTCCTCTTAAACCTTGAAACAGGAACGCGAGAGTCCGAGTAGGAGTTCATATTTATTTGTCTTTGTCTTTAAAACAGGGTGGCTCTTGGGAAGAAGTGTGTCCAGGGGGCTGTTAGGGTCGGGCTTTCAGGGGACAGAGGGGCGGGGTGGGGGTCTGCACCGGACGAAAGTTGAAACAGGCGTGGAGGGCGGTTGTGAGTGGGGAGACCAACTGTTGGTGAAGCAGATTGACCCAGGTCAGGGGAGAAACCCTCCGCCGCGCACCCATTGGAGAGACTGGAAAATACGGGGCTGCAGTGGCCGATGTGGCTTGGACAGCCTAGGGAGTTTTGTCTGAGCAGAGGGATCCACCTTCCTGCAGCTCCAGCGCAGTGGCGTCCGGGGAGCCACAGACCTCGTTTCTACCCCCGCCCCTCTGCTTAGACCTTTGGCAAGTGGCTTAACTTCTCCCATCTTCAGCGTCCCCATGTGCTCAAAATGGAGGAAATCATCCTCAAAATGGAGGGAAGCAGGTGCTTGAAGAATCTGTTCTTGTTACATGAGTAGCACCTGTACAAGTGATAATGTCGACTGAATAGGTACCAAATTTAGAGAGAAGCTTTTACAGTTTTCTCTATTGCTTGACGCAAACTTACGTATTACCTCCTGGTGTCTGTAAAAAGGGAGGTCATAATGGAGCCTCAGGGAAGGCTGTTTTGAGGATCAAATAGGATCATGCATATCAAGTGTTTAAACAGTTAACTATTTTTATTACACTTAAAAGAACAGAGGTTAATTTTCTTTGCGACTATCTAGAAACTATTCATTTTGGGCCAGGGCAGTATCTACTATCCCGTGGTCTTGAGCAAGTTATCCCTGGCAGGATAATCATGGAATAGGAGCCTTCAGGCTTTGTCCTAGGTCACATTCTATGTGCTGTCTTCGCACCTCTGTGATGAAGGGTTCGCGCTAACCAGGTAGTGGGTGGTAGCTCTTTCCCTGTGTACACATGCATCCCTGCCTGTTCCCTGCCCCAAATCACTGTGTGGAATTCCTGTGTCTGGTGGTCAAGGGGCACAGGAGGGTAGTCTCGGTCTGAATTGTGTCACTGACTTGGGGCTGCAGCTTTGGGAGCTCCACTCTGATCCGGGGGTGCCCACGTGGCAGAGGTTGCAGTTTTCCAGCTGCTCTGTGGTCACTCCAGGACCTTGTGTCCTGGAGCAGTTTGCTTTTACAGAGAAAGTTGGATGGCATGTTCTGTTTTCCCATCTTGAAATTATACGATAAACTTTGTTTTCCAGATGAATTTCCTCTGCTGACAACCAAACGTGTTTTCTGGAAGGGTGTTTTGGAGGAGTTGCTGTGGTTTATCAAGGTAAAGAAATTGCTACTATTGGAAATCAATAATCTGTTCTCAGTACAGCATCAGCTAGATCCTTTTAAAAGTCACACCATGTCACTCCTTGGCCTAAAGCCCTTAGTGGCTCCAATTTCACTTAGTAGGAGCCAAGGTCCTTACCATCCTGTCTCAGCTCTGGCCTCCGCCAGAGTCCCGCTCACTCTGCCCCTCCCATCCTGGCCTCCTTGCTAATCTTCGAGCACACCAGGACATTCCCACCTAGGGCCCAGGCACCCGCTGGTCCTGCTCCCTGGAACCTTCTGTTCCATGTAGCATGACTCGCTCCCTCACCCTCAAGTCTCTGCTCAGTGAGCTTTCCCTGCCTCGGATCTAAAACTGTGATTATCTCCCCACCCTCTCCTCCCACCCCTCCTTTGTTTTCTCTACAGAGAAATACCTTATGTATAAGGTCTGCCCTCCCCCTTTACCCCATTCAAGGGTGAAGGCAGACAATAAAATAAAATAAATCAATAAAATAAAATAAATCAATTAAAAAATTTTTTTTAATTTAGAAAAGTATTAGAAGCTCCATGAGGGCAGAGAATTTCTCTTGTCCACTGTTGCATCCCCTGAGACACAGCCTGCCACACAGTAGGCACTCAACATGGAGTGATCACTGAATATAGATCCCAACTGTGCTCTCGTGTTGGGATAAGCTGGAAGGGTCTCTTGAGTAACAAGGTAGAGTGCTGTGATGATGGGCAGCAGCCACACCTGGGCTTCCCCTCGCTCCATCTGGTTCAGACCAGTGATATTCTGGCCAGTGTTGGTCACAGGGTACCTGAGGAAATGGGCTCTGTTCTGGACTGGGTTAGGGGTTGGGATCCCTTCTACAGGGCACTTAGCAGGCCCAAGACCTCTTAACACCTTTTAGAAAAGGTTTAGATTTGGATTCAATCCAGTCTCCCTTAGTTCTGTATTCTCGGGGTATTTTCTTCTGCATTGGCCTATCTCAACTGACAGCGAGCTTCTACTTCCAAATACATCAGCGCAAATCTCAGAAGAGGACGTTTGTAAAGCAGCTAGAGCCCAGTCTGGATAGATGGGAAGGGAGACTTTTGAAGCCACATGTGAAGGGTTGAGAAATGAGTTGTTGGAAGTGAAAAAAATTAGTACAAACTCAGTGACAGAAAGGGAGGAACTGAGATGCTCAGAAATAAAATGTATTCGCTTGTTTTATCTTAAAGCTTGAGTGCAGGATTCTAATAAATCCTTGTCAGGAACACATCAGACTCACCTCTGATCATCACTCCATGGGTGACTCAAAAATACAGGAGTTAGGGATTTCCCTGGCAGTCCAGTGGTTAAGACTCCGTGCTTCCACTGCAGGGGGCACGGGTTTGACCCTTGGTCGAGGAAGTTCCACGTGCTGTGCGGTGCAAAAAATACGGCAGTCAGAGTTTACCTGCACTTCAGCTGGGATCTTTGGGCAATATGGAGATGTATGGTCTGTGCAACAGTTAATATTGGGTCGAGTGCCAAGCGTTTTGCTTGTATTTTCTACTCACAGTAATATGGGTGGTGGTTACTACTGCTGTGCTCTTTTTTGGGTGCAGATGGTGAGGCTAGAGGGGTCAGGAAGCTGGTCAGAGAAGGGAGGAAGAGAGGCATGGGGCCCAGGTGTGTGTGGCCTCATAGCCTTGCTTGGAACCTTACAGCGTATCATACCCAGAGGCCAGTGCGGTCTGTCCTTGACCTGGATGCACCATCAGGATACAGGCTAGGATGACATGGGCCAAATCTAATGAGGTGAAATATATAAGAGGAAAATAAAGCTTGTACTTGGCACCAAAAAAAAAAAAAAAAAAACCCCCCCAAAACCCACACCTTAACTTTGTGAATATAGGTTGGGGGTAAACATGACTTGATAGTGGCACTTGTAAGATGTATGACTGACATATTTGCCAGAAAAGCTAAGACTGATTAGGCCAATCAGTGGAAATATCTGATATACCAGGTCTAAGATACACCAAACAGATTGCACATGAGGCATTAGATTCATCCTGGGGCATCACACTTAGACACAGAACACATTTAGTTAAGAAACACAAAACTGTTAGATGAGATGGAAGTAATTAAAGGACTTGGAGGTGTTTCGAATTTTAGTTGAGGGGAATAGGAAAAAAGATTTGAGATCGTGATTGCAAAGAAGGATTGGACCATCCTGGGGGCCCTCAGAAAGTTTGGACTGGGACCAGCCTGCTTAATGATGGGATGTGTCAGGTGCTGTCCCCTGTCTGTCAGCACAGGCCCACTTGGGGGGAGGCTTTTGGGGGATCGACTGATGGCACAGAATTCACTGGATGCTGCTCTCTCCCATCTCTTCCAGGGATCCACAAACGCTAAGGAGCTGTCTTCCAAGGGAGTGAAAATCTGGGATGCCAATGGGTCCCGAGACTTCTTGGACAGCCTGGGATTCTCCACCAGAGCAGAAGGGGATTTAGGCCCAGTTTATGGCTTTCAGTGGAGGCATTTTGGGGCCGAATACAAAGAGATGGATTCAGGTGAGGAGACGGAGTGGGGCCTCAGATTTCCTGAGTGCCTCTCACAGCCTGAGTTTGTTCCATTGTTGCAAGTGAAGCCTGGGGGATAGGAAACCGGAGATGGGGAAGTGGATGTATAACTTGGACCTTGTGAGGGGCGCTTCAGATTCAGGTGGAGGATCAGATCAGACCATAGCAGGATGGTCAGCACTTGCTGGGTCTTAGCACCTTCCACACCTTGTTCATCAGCAGATAGTGACCCGGTTGGTGGTTGGTCAGTGTGTTGGGTGTAGGGTTGGAAGGTCATCTGGGGGACAAGAGTGTCAGGGATTGCCCTGTGGCAGCGTTGATCTCCCCTTTTAAAGACTGAGCTGCCCAGCACACTGTAGTGGTGCTGGGGACCGGTCTCTGGTCACCCTCTCTTCCCCGTCCTGGTGAGATGGAGGAAGGTGAAACATCTCACCCCTGGGCGCCCACCCTCCTCTGTCACTGGGTGGCTCCACTTGCTGACTGTCACAGAATCCAGTCCAGGTCCTTTGACCCTTCCTGTCCCCCCATCCCTAGGTCAGGAGTTGCAAAAGCAAATGCCTGCCTCGGGGTGGGTGGGTGTGTGCGCGCACGCCGCGCATGTGCATACACACAGGAAGTAACAGTTTGCTGGCTGGGCAAAAACCAGTTACCTGGAAAGCCTGTGCCATCTAAAGGGGACAGTCACACCTCAGCTCTAGCCAGCTGGAGGGATTTGGGCCTGATGTTGTTGGGTTTTTCAATAAATGGCTAAGTCTTTGGAATGGTGGCAACTTTGGTAAGTTCAAAATGCCATGCCAACCTGAAATAGGCAAATTCACAGAGACCAAAAGTGGATGGGGAGTTGTTTAATGGGTACAGAATTTCAGTTTAGGAAAATGAAGAAGATTTAGAATGGATAGTGGTGATGGTTGCACAACATTGGGAATGTACTTAACGCCACCGACTGCACACCTTTAAATGGTTAAAATGGTCAACTTAATGTTATATAAATTTTGCCACACACCAAAAAAAATGCTCTGTGGGCCAAACAATTTCTCTGCAGGTGAATGGACTTTCTGTTGTTAGAATGTAGCCCCCGTCCTAGGACATCCTCAGGATGTGAGGCTACACCCCTGGCTTAATTGTGCCTTAAATCCTGCCTCGTGTTCAATTATTTATTCTTCCTTGAGGGACCTGATGAAATTATGGCCTTAGTTTAGAGTTGTATGAACGCTTAGCTGTTGGATTTCAGTACAAGAGTTTTTGTTTTGTTTTGAATTTTTACCCTGAAATAATTATAGGTTCACAGGAAATTGCCCAAGAAAATGTAACCTCTCACATAAATTAACATTTGTAAAACCCACAGCACTTACCAGATTTCTCCAGCTTTATAGATTTGTGTGCAATTTTAGCACCTATAGATTTATGTAACCACCACCACAATCAAGATACAGAACTGTTCCTTCACAGTTCATCTTTTTTTAAATCTTTGATGTTACTTTTCTGGAACTGTGATGGTGATAGGACTTTCTTCCCCAAATTTAGAACTACTGGACTTGAGCATAGTCTGACTCCAATAAGTGGAAGTTTAACCAGAGGGGTGTGAAGCTCTGCACATCTCGGCTTCCAGTTCATTTCAGAAGGAGGCAGGGACTTAAAAGTCCAGAGACCAGAAATGGGACAAAAGTATAAGGTGGTATAATAATTAGAGGTTTCCTGATATTTACAGTCAGTAGGTATTTGGCTGTTAAATTGTAATTTTAGGTGGGAGTGTTGGAAGGATAGTGTCTAGATGACAAAAAGGAATTCTCATCCTCTGTTAGTTGGACCGCATATTGTAGGGTAAATTAGTGAAGATCCAGCCCTGTGCCTGGCAGTGGAGCGTGACAAGATTGGTTGATGGTATAGAGACTACGTCCTGTGGGGACCACTGGAAGAAACAGATCGTTGAGGCTGAAGAAGGTTAGTGATAGGAGAAGGGGGGAGGAGGGGCACCACGGCCAAGTATTTAAAGGACTCTTAAGTAGGTAAGAAATAGACATTGTTACAGTTCCAGAGGACAGACCTAGGAGCCAAGACTCAATATAACCCGACAAAATATAAGACATTTGTATTGTTCGTTGGCTATCGTGTAACTGCGCCAGGGGAGGCCGTGGGTGGACAGTGTGGTCGATGACCTCCGAGGCCCTCTCATGGGATGCTGTGATTCACGTGTGACGTGTTCTTTTTGCCAATTCTGCAGATTATTCAGATCAAGGAGTAGATCAACTGCAAAAAGTGATTGACACAATCAAAACCAACCCTGACGACAGAAGAATCATCCTGTGTGCTTGGAATCCAAAAGGTTGATTGCATCCCAGTCACCCTGCCATGTCTTAACTGTACCTTCTGCAGAGGCTGCCCGGCTGCCCCTGTGACCCTGGCCATGTCGCACGTGGTCCCATTTTCACCTTCAGAGGGTGAGGCTGGGCCCAGATGAAATTTGTATTTTATGGGCTTTAAATTGCCTATAAAAATACACATGAAAATTTTAACATTTTAAATTGAGGCAGATGGAATTTCAGATCACCTCCCCCTCACTATTATGAACATTTTAAACAATTATATTGTAAAACTAAACTCTACCAAGGTGTACTAAATACCCAGAGTGGAATATTTGCATTTATGATAGAGATTTTTGAATACGGGAAGGTGTGCCTGAGTGGCCAATATCCTGTGGCCCCTGCAAATGAATTCATTCCTCCTATACTTGTGGTTTGGTGCCATGGTGGTAGCACAAGTAATTCATTTCAGCTCGGGTGGAAGAGCATGGCTTCAGTTGTCAGCATGCATCCACAGAAGTCTCACGTTGATGGACAGGTCTCTGTTGTCGACCGTATGCCATCCCTGGGGTTGGAATGGTCTGTGAGGGTCACGGGGGTCGCTGGCCCAGTGGCTCTTTCTCACCATCTCCGCTGTATGAGTTGGTTCTGTTTCACTTTGCCTAGAGCTGTGTTCTTTAAAACCACTGCCCCTCCTGACTTTCCTCTGCCATCTCCTCAGATCTCCCTCTCATGGCCCTACCCCCGTGCCATGCCCTTTGCCAGTTCTACGTGGTGAACGGTGAGCTGTCCTGCCAGCTGTACCAGAGGTCAGGAGACATGGGCCTGGGTGTGCCCTTCAACATCGCCAGCTACGCCCTGCTCACCTACATGATCGCACACATAACGGGCCTGAAGGTGGGCTCCTCTCGGGGAGGAACGGCTGTTGCCAGCCTAAAGCACTGAGCTCTTATTTTTAATGATTTTTTAAAAAAATTTATTTTTGGCTGCATTGGGTCTGCGTTGCTGCGCGCGGACTTTCTCTAGTTGGGCGAGCGGGGACTCCTCTTTGTTGCGGTGCGTGGGCTTCTCATTGTGGTGGCTTCTCTTTTGTGGAGCGTGGGCTCTAGGCGCGTGGGCTCAGTAGTTGTGGCTCACGGGCTCTAGAGCGCAGGCTCAGTAGTTGTGGCACACGGGCTTAGTTGCTCCGTAGCATGTGGGATCTTCCCAGGCCAGGGCTCAAACCTGTGTCCCCTGCATTGGCAGGCAGATTCTTAACCATCGTGCCACCAGGGAAGTCCCAAGCACTGAGCTCTTAGATCCTGTAACGTGGAAGAACTAATTGCAGAGAATTTCGTCTCCAATTAGTCTTTAAATATGATAGATGTAAATGAGGAACTGGCTTACTCTGTAACCTCCTTGGAGCTTTCCCGTCCTTTTGCTCTGTATAAACTAACGGGATCGTATAGGTTATTTATTATAACTTTGATGAATCAACTTTTCTCAAAATTGACGCTGGTTAAATTCCTTGTGAAAAGCTTTGGGATGTCTGCATACTCTGTATCATGTGTTTTTACATGATGTGTTTTAAAGGAATTCAAACTAAAGCATTTACTGTTCTGCTTTCTCCCGTGGGGTTTAGCCAGGTGACTTTGTACACACTTTGGGAGATGCACACATTTACCTGAATCACATTGAGCCGCTGAAAATTCAGGTAAGAAATGTATCTGTCACACTTTGGGGTTTGGTACCTTCTCTTGATAAAAGGTCGATATGGAAAACATCCCTCCTGTAATAAGTGTTCTCCTCGGTGCTCTGACAGAGGTAAGAGGACCTGCTTCCAGGTTTGCGGGTGGCGGTGGGCAGGCAGGGACAAGGCAGACAGGCCTCAATGGCCACAGACACTTTACATGACACGTGCTGTGAGGTATTAAGTACCAGTACCAGGAGGTACCAGTACCAGAGGTACCAGTACCAGAGGAGAAGCCATCTTTGGACCAGAAGGGTTAGGACCTTCCCAGAGGTGGCATTTTAATTCATTCTTTTACTTGGAAGAGTGTTTAAATGCAAATATTTTCCCTTAGTTTTATGCTAACATACAGTATTTAGGTCTGAACTTTGAAAAGTCTGTGTTCACTTCCATAACTTACAGCAGCCAACAAAGGATTTGTTTTTGGGATTTTTTTGTTGTTGTTCTTTTAATTGAAGTACAGTTGATTTACAGTGTTGTATTAATTACTGTTGTACAGCAGACTCAGTTATACATGTATATACATTTTTTTCATATTCTTTTCCATTATGGTTTCACAGGATATTGAATATACTTCTCTGCACTATACAGTAGGACCTTGTTTATCCATTTATATATACTAGTTTGCGTCTGCTAATCCTGAACTCCCACCCCTTCCCCACCTTGGCAACCACCAGTCTATTCTCTCTGTTCGTGTTTCTGTTTCACAGATAGGTTCATTTCTGTCATATTTTAGATTTCACGTGAGTGATATCTCGTGGTATTTGCCTTTCCCTTTCTGACTTCACTTAGTATGATAATCTCCAGTTGCATCCATGTTGCTGCAAGTGGCATTATTTCATTCTTTTTTATGGCTGAGTAGTAGTCCATTGTATGTATGTATCACATCTTCTTTATCCATTCATCTGTCCATCGACATTTAGCTTGTTTCCATGTCTTGGCTATTGTGAATAGTGCTGCTGTGAACGTAGAGGTGCATGTATCCTTGAATTACAGTTTTGTCTGGATATATGCCCAGGAGTGGGATTGCTGGATTATATGGTAATATTATTTTCCACTTTCTGAGGAACCTCCATATTTTCCACAGTGGCTGCACCAACTTACATTCCCACCAACAGTGTAGGAGGTTTCCCTTTTCTCCACACCCTCTCCAGCATTTGTTATTTGTAGACTTTTTAAAAATTAATTTTTTTTGTGGTTTGCGGGCCTCTCACTGTTGTGGCCTCTCCCGCTGCGGCGCACAGGCTCTGGACGCGCAGGCTCAGCGGCCATGGCCCACGGGCCCAGCCGCTCCGCGGCACGTGGGATCCTTCCAGACCGGGGCACGAACCCGTGTCCCCTGCATCGGCAGGTGGACTCTCAACCACTGCGCCACCAGGGAAGCCCGTAGACTTTTTAATGATGGCCATTCTAACTGGTGTGAGATAGTACTTCATTTTAGTTTTGATTTGCATTTCTGTAATAATCAGCGATGTTGAGCATCTTTTCATGTGCCTATCGGCTATCTGTGTTTCTTCTGTGGAGAAATGTCTTTTGGTGTTGTTTATGGTTTCCTTTGCTATGCAAAAGTTTGTAGTTAGTTTAGGTCCCATTTGTTTATTTTTATTTCCATTGCTTTGGGAGACTGACCTAAGAACATTGATACAATTTATGTCAGAATATTTTACCTATGTTCTCTTCTAGGTGTTTTATGGTGTCATGTCTTATGTATTTCCAACAAAGGATGATTTAAGATGGCAATAAAAATATGAGTGTGCTTAATGAACCTCAAGGAAAAAAATTCAAACCAAAAACCTTTAGCCCCTTCTGGATTAGGTCTGGGTTTGGCAAGTCTTTGAGGAGCTTGGCTGCTGTGATTAGAGGGTGACCCAGGGCTCATCCAAATGCTCCTCTCTGGCAGTCTGCTCCAGTCATGCTGGACGGAATGCTATGTGGTCGTGACCTGTGTCCGTGTCCTCATTGCTGCTGTCTGTTCATCCCAGGAGTCCTGGCTTGCATCCCTTTCTGTTGTCAACACGTGTCATCTTCTTTGCCCTTTCTGCCAGGGACAGTTGGGCTAGGGTTCAAGGGACTCAAGTAACCATTCTGTAGCTACTTTTTATTAAAGTAGAAGACTAGGCCCTGTCTTTAACAAATTTACCAAGAGCAGTCGATTATAAGAACTTAAACCTGGTGAGCCACCAAGGCTCCTGACACCATGTGATTCTACTGAACACCCTTCACTCTCCACGTGGGCAAGAGAATTGGTCAGCAGCATTGAATAACCAGGGACAAGGTATCTGTAGTATTCCACCCCTGAAAAATAATATTGATACTTTATTGGTAAAATACTGTTATTTTTTTCATGAAGGGACACAGGGAGCAAAATTAAAGCAGGTTGTGTGGATCTGGCAAAATAATGGCCTTATGTGTTTTTAGCTTCAGCGAGAACCAAGGGCTTTCCCCAAGCTCAAAATCCTTCGAAAAGTTGAGAAAATTGATGACTTCAAGGCTGAAGACTTTCAGATTGAAGGCTACAATCCTCACCCAACCATTAAAATGGAAATGGCTGTTTAGAGTGCTTTTGAAGGAGTTGTTTGAAGGATATTTACACCTAGGTGAAAGTTCATTTTGCTCTAAAGGAGAAGGAACTAGGTCAAAACCTGTTGGTGATCTATCAATCAGTTATTATTCATTAACTTTTAAGGATGTTGCCACTGGCAAATAGAACTGTGCTGGTTCTCTTAGTAATAAAAGACCTGGAGTTAGGGTAACTCACTGAGGATGTATGTAAACGTAGAGATTGTGAATACAGACAGGAAAGAGAAAATATATATACTCTTAATTCAAACTTTATGTTTTTATGAAAATGGTCAGTGAATTTCAAGAATTATGTATAACTATTGCCCAAATTGGAGCAAGCTGGATAACACCATCAGTCATAATGCCTAGTGTGGTTATGAACATATAAAGTTGTATTTGTTTTATATCTTGCTGTAATGTTCTGCATTCATGTTCTGTTTTTTTAATTCCATGTTGCCATTTACCTGCTCAGTTCCTGCCTAAAACAGATTTAACTGAACCCTCCTAAACAAACATACCTGTGCTGTGTTCTCTTTTGGATGCTGCTTAGATGGGTATGGTATATTTTAGAAATGCTGACTAAGCTATATTTCACCCTATTTTTCTATGATTCATCTAATTCTAGCTGCATTTTATCATTAAAGTACAATGATTATTTGGGATAAAGGCTTTAAGGGTTATAAAAATAGTCTATGAAATATCCCTTTACCCTCATTAGCTTCAGCATGGTGAATTCTCTAATAACGTGCTTAGACTGAGCAAGAGAAAGATGCTAAACCACCCCAGGGCTGACCAGTGAATGTTTTTACCTTTGCTGCATATCAGATACCCCAATAGTGCTGCACGACTGTTTTATTATGCTAATTTATGACAAGTGTGTTTTTAAAAAGATTAAGGAATTATTCCAACATGCTGCTTATTTTCAAAGTTTAATGTCTAGGTACCAGCACTTGATAGAAATTTTAACATCTTCCTGGACTTTGAGACAGTTGGATCTACTTTTGTTTAAAGATTACATAGGAGAATGTTTTTGGCTGAAAGAATCAAGTAATGATGACTAAGCTGATGCCCGAGGTTAGTATGACTTTCAGCTGAACTTGTTCTGATTGGTAGGATGAATTTTTTTTTCTATTTTTGTAAAACCATACCCAAGAAATTTTAAGCCTTTTCACTTAAAGCAAAAGCTGTTAAGCATTCAGCTCTAATTCCCTTGAGCAGCAAGGAGCTTCTCCCAAACTTCACCATCTGGATACTGGTGTTTCTTTACAGATTCCTCCTTCATTTCTGTTGAATAACCAGCATCCTATCAAAGACAAAAAATGGAATCATGTTAATAACCACCTAGAACAAAAGTCATTTATTTTACTTATTTCTGCTGTTCCTAGGAATGCTTTTAAATCTAAGTCAGAGGCAACTGAATTAATAAGTTTGCAGGTTGTTTGAAATGGGGGAGAGGGACGTACTTTATTGGCTGCTTCTCAGGGTTAGTGAACTATTCACACTTCCTTTGATGGTTCAACCTCTGTTGGTGAAAATGAGCCCCGATCTCTTGAACAGACGGATAAATGGCGCAGATAACACAACTGCAGTCAACCTTTCACTAACTTGCTAGATGGTGCCGGGGTTTTTTTTTAGTTTTGTTTTGTTTGGGGCAGGAAGGACCCAAGGAGTGCATGTTTTCAGGTCCAGCTGGTGAGGAAAGGCTGGCGTGAGAGAAGCCTTGTCAGGGGCATCCTGACCTTCAGGCCTGGGGAATTTGACTAAAGAGCCATATGTTTCTAGATATTGAAAACAGACTTGAAGGAGACAAAGCTTTGTGCTCTGGGGTCTAGCTCCTGAGAAGAGTAGGGCAGGGCTGGCAGGGCTGGCAGTGCCTCCTCGGGGGTGGGGGTGGGGCCTCCCTGGCCAAACTCACCTTAGGAGGCATGTAGGAAGCCTTCTTGATTATCACGGGGTACTTGAAGTGCTCGTGCAGGTGGTCGACGTATTCACACATCCTGGGAGGAAGGAATCGGGTTGGGGTAAAAATGCCTTCAGTTAGATAGTTCATGTGGTGCTGTTAGGGCAAAGGGGCGAGCACCACTAAGAAAGGATGGACTCTGCCAAGGCTTGGCTGATACCATGTATTTATGTAAGTCCCTCAGCCTCTGGACTTCAGGTTCTTCTCTGTAAGGTAAAGCAGTATGGGGGATTGGATGAAATGAACTGTGAAGTATCTTTTAACTTAAGGTTTTGTGAACCAAAAGGCATCAATTTAGACTTAGACGTATCTGGGATTATTTGGGTGCCTCTAGCCAAAAGGTGAACAGATTAAAGTCACCAAATGAGGTCCCTTCCAGCTACACAAATGATTTAGAAGAGCACAGGTTTTAGGATCAGACCAATCTGTTCAAATTTGGTGTCAGCCACTGTCTAGTTTTGTGACTTGGGGCAAGTGACCTAACTCTACTGCCTTACTTCAGCCATTGGTTAATGAACAGCTGAGATGAGCAGGCCGTGTGTCCAGTGCTGGGGACACAAAGGAACTGGTAAGAGAGGGCCTTGTGGTTTCAATGGCTGTAGATACCAAGTTGTTGACTATAATATGTACTGTGTATAATCTAGAACAGGCTACAGATGAAGAACCGGCCCCTTGGGAGAGGACAGTGGGCCTTGAAGAATGAATAGGGAAGCAGTGCTCCACACACAGGGTTACAAAGCAGGTGACAGCACACGGCATCTGTGTCTGGTGGCTGTCCCTCCTGCATGGTGGCATTCCCAAGCAGTGAGGTCTGCTTTCACGGGGTGGCATGAGGTTCTCACCCACTCATGGGCAGGCATAGTGCCCAGTGGGTCAGAGCTGACCCTCTTTTGTATTCCTCAGAACTTTGCAGGACCTGTCAAGGTTGGTTAGGAGTGTTTGTTTTTCTAGTTTAAAATATCTCAGGTTTAAATACCCAGCTGCAGAAAGAACCATTACTTTATAGTTGAAGTCCCCGTAGACCCTCACAGGTCCCACTTCTCAGTCCTGAACTTGATGTTCACCTTTCCCGTGCATGTCGTCATGCTTTCACTGTGTACTCCTAGTGATCTTTCTGCACTATCGCATTTAATTCTTGGAGGAGAGAAAGGCATAATAAAGTTGCATGTCTGCAGATGACTGGAAGGAGACTGTCCTAATTTAAAGCTCACCTGGCACATGTTGAGAAGTAAGATGGAACTAAAAGATGCAGCCAGATCCTGAAGACTCCAGTGTTGGGAAGAAATTGGACAGAAGCAGAGAGTATACATATGAAAGCGGGGCTTTAGAAAGTCAGAAACAGGAGCTGTTTCTGGTTTCCATTTGGTTGCAGAATCTCCCCATCCCCCTTATGTACCTAGAAAACAGTAAGTCAGCTACCAGGAAACCACCCTCTAGAAGAAAAAAGACTTCAGTAGTGGGTCTCAAACTGCCTTTGAGTTATGGGATGTGCCAGTGGCCAGGGGTCTGGCCTGGATTGAGACACAGTACTGAAGTTAATGCCACATCACTGACCTGTCTTTGAGGCTTGCAGAGACTGATATGAAGTCAAATACAATCAGGTGCTGCACCAGTTCACAGAGGCCAACTCCACCAGCATGTGGGCACACAGGAACTAAAAGTGAAGACAGATTTCCACTGAGTGCTAAGTAGGGCAGCGAGGGAGAAGTGAAGGAGAACCTGTGGCTTTTCTTGTTGCCTGCAGGTGATTAAATCGTTAATATTTAGGAATGAAAATCATCAAAGATTCCCTGATTAAGCCTAACTGAGAGTTAGAAAAAAGTCAAAATGGGAAACTCCAGAGGGAACCAGGCAGGGAAATGGTGTTTGGTCCGCGACCCCGCGGCGCCCTTACTGTCAAACTTTTTGGCCATCAGCAGCACTGAGAGGCTCTCGTTTACACTCCCCAGCCTGCAGCTGTCGATCTGGAGAAACTGCAGGGCTTTTGCCTGTAGGAGTTGCTTAAATATCACTCTATTGTGGCACTGGAAATAGAATTAAAATACACCAACAGAAGAGTCAGCCTCAGCCTTCAGGATCTATATACCTGGCACTGCCCCCATTCCAAGTCTCTCATTGGTGGCCTCCTGGAAGCCCGGACTGTATTCATTTTTTGTTCTCACTTGGCATGAGGTGAGCCCTGACAGGCTAGGCGGGGACCTTCTGATCACTTTGTTACAGATTTGCTGGCGGAACCACGTGTGTGTCATGGAAAAGTCACACCACTCGCCATCTATCCATCAGTGCATAACCGCCACCTCTAAGTGGGAGATAAAGCATCAGGATGAAATAAGGGGATGGCGATGAGCAGGTGGCACGGGCGACAAAACAGAAGCGTGGCAGAACGGCACTGCTCCTTTTGCTGGGAAAGCCGAGAATCTGTTCCCTCACACAGCTCTACTCGTGGGCCGCCTGCCGCGGGCTTTGGCAGGCGCTTGTGCTTCGTTTATAAGCACAAAAAGGGAACGCAATCATGTTTACCCAGTTTGGAAGCTGGCTTTCTTAAAACCACATGGTGCACATTAGGCCCCTGCAGCTTTAAATTGCTGCCTTGTAAATTCCGATGAGCTACTTTGAAAAAGATAAATGACCTTAGTCATAGGAATTGTAGAAGAACATGCAAACTCGACTATATATTTGTCTTACTCCAGACTATGAAGTGGTCTAAGGTGACCCAATTTCTAAGATGAAGAAAATCTCCCAACTCAGAACAACACAGGTGATGTAGCCTAGCGTATGCCAGTGTCCCCAGTCGGTGGCCAGTGTGGGCTGACCCTGAGGAGACATCTCTTACCTGTTCTCCGGTGGCAACGCCAATTCCCAGGGGGACCAGTGCCTGTAAAATATAAGGCAACCTGATGTTATTTTCCTAAGTTTTTGAACTGAGACTACTAATGTTTAAAAATATTTAGAGCTGTTCAGCTATTTAGAGCTGAAGAAGGAAACAGCCCTGCCATCGAGCCGTGTGAAGTTTAAGGAGCCACAGAAAGTGGTAGAGCGGGTGGGGGAGGTGCACTGGGCTATCTCTGTCTGACACCAGCACATGTTCCATCCCACAACCAGTTCCTCCCTGATTTCTCACCCATCTGGCAGCCTTTGGTTTAAATAGGGCTGCTCATGGAGCTCGCTCTGTCAGAGGATGCAAAAATACAGGGCTCCCAGAAGTTAACACTTTCTCCTTATGAGTGACCCACCTGGCGCTCTGGCTTATAGATCTGTGCTGTGAACCCAGCTAATGGGAGACTCCCTGAGAGACAGGATATTTCTCACATATTCTTACATATGAAAGGGAGAGAAGCTGGCCCAAATTCAGGTGAGTTTGCCCAGGAAGCGCCCTGGTTAAAGGGCTCTGTGGAAACGGATGGGCAGCCTTCTCATGGGGAGGCCTGACCTTGACATTAGCTAAGCAAACCTTTGCTTATGAATCAGCCAGAGGAATCTACACTTTGTTTCAATCTGGGTGAGTAAAATATTTGAGTATCAGTCAGATTTCTGTATTTACAAAGTATGGGAATCAGGTCTGTTAACCTTTGGATTGCTGGTAGCCTTTCAACTGGTAGCAGTTTAGTTTCTCTAAAATAAATAGAACTGTGAAAGGGAATAAGCCCAGGAATCTTAGGATCTGTGACCACCACTCTAGCAGCAGCAGCAGGTTTTTTACCTTGGAAATGGTGGCATGCCCCAGAATGTCATCAGGGGAGGTGGGCTCCTCAATCCACAGGGGCTTGAACTCCGCCAGCTTCGCCATCCACTCCACGGCCTCGGGCACATCCCAGCGCTGGTTGGCATCCATCATCTGAAAGGAGGGAGAGACCCTTCATGGGGAGGTGTGCCCGCTGCTGACCTTGCTGCAGGCTGTGGCTCCCAGGGAGGAAACGCTGTCACTTGGTGCCCCTGACTGCTGCGGCCCAGCACACACCCCTAACAAAGGGAGCCCGAGAGCAGCCACCAAGACGAACTCTGGCTCCAGATACTGTCTCAGAGGAGATGCAAGTTGCTCAGGGAGCCACTGTGAGGTCCAGAAGTGCTTGCTGGCCCTGGAGCTCCAGCCTGATCTACATTTAGAAACCACCCAAATACATTTGTCTTGCAGGGTTCATCATTTGTAGGAACTGTTTTATCACAGTCTGAATCATGCACAGTTAATACCGAGTTTGTTCAATAGTCACTTATTGGCTATTACCTACTATGTGTTTGGCACAATAAATAACCCAAACTCTATCATTAATTAGGCATCTACTCCACTAGGCATTTAATGGATTTTTTTCCATTTAATATTTATAATAACTCTATGAGGCAGTTCACATTAACCCATCTTACAGACAAGAAAACATAAGCAGAGAAGTAACTTGCTCAAGGACGATAAGTAAATGGTGAGTTCAAATCCAGGCCTCTCACTCTAAGGCCTGGGCCCTCTGTGTGCAGTGAGACTGCCAGGAAGCCAGGTGCTGGGTGTGCAGAGACGAGAAAGGGCCCCTCCATCCCCGATATCATCACACTTGGAGAAGCCAGACACAGAGATGGAATTCTTTAGTAGAATGTGCTGAGTGGTCAGAGGTCCCTTGTGGGACTCTGTGGGAGCCAGAGGATAGTGTGCCCAGAATCTATTCCTGTCATAAATTATTTAGATGAGCATGACCTCACAAGACAAAAGTAGCATTAATTCATGTATAAATAATGGGACTTTTGATCTTAGGTCCAGGACTCAAACTTCTATTTTAATATATGAAACATGCCTCCAAAAAGATATAAAAACATCTTATTGTGACTATTTTATGAAAATATTTTACACATAGGAAGAAATGTTTTATAAAAATATGTAGGAATGACTGATCCTTAACATTTATCTCGGCAAAAGTTCCAGCATTTCTTGAGCAATGGCTCCCCGAGACCCACCTACCTGAAGGCGGGTTGGCGGATTTAAGAAGGGGGGGGTTGAATGATTGACATACTGGGGGCGCCAATGGGAGACCTGTTTGCTCAGGCGCATCTGTCCTAGCACAAAGGAACAATCCCTAAACCTGATCTTACCGAATTGGTTCTGTAGAATAAAAAACTATCAATCAGCCCCCTCAGTTTTTTGTTTTTTTAAACAATTCGCCTACTCCAAGAGCTCAAAGCTGTACTTCTGACATACGGTGTTAAAATTCCCAATGTTCTTTAATCCTTGCTTGAAACAAGTTGTATTTTGGCCCTGGACAAGGCTTCTCACACACAGCTGCTTCCTTCTCAGTGGCAGGGAGGTTACTTACCAGCGTCTTCTCAGGGCCGATCATGTTTCTGATGAGTCGGCATCTACGGATGTCATCCTGGAGATCAGCACCAACTTTTACCTTAAACCTATAAAATAAATTTGGTCTCGTAATTTAGATCTGTACCCTGACTTGGCAAAGACACGTGGCTTTTCTGCAGAAGTGACTGTTTCTGTCAATAATTCACAGGTCACATTTTCTAGTAAACTCTTGCCCTTTCCCAATCAATCTTCAGACAAGCCACTCAAAAATAACCCTGTAAGTGTATCTTTTTACTCAGTATCGGGGCAGTAACTCTAAATTACCTGCTGTCCTGAAGTCCAGCAATGGACAGAGCAGCTAGATCTTTAATAACATTAACTGAGTTTTTTGCTGTGCCATGAAGAAGAGTTAAGAACGGAAAAGGTATAGTCAGACTTGGCGGGTGAGCTGGCATCCTCTCCCTCACTCACCAGCCTCTCTGTCCTACACACGGACATCAGGCTGCTGCTTTGGAGCCAGGATGGCCCAAGGTCCTCCTCTCCACAACACCCACCCTCTGTGCTGACAAAAAAGCCCCTCTCACAGCCTGTGCTGTTCTCTCCCCTGTGCTCAACACCAAACACACTAAAGATGACCTTTCTATCCTGGGTGGAAGCCTTAGCTTCTGGATGCTGGGCTTCCCATGCTCAGGGGCCTAGGAATCTCTCCTCGGCCTTCTCTGACTCCTAGCGGTGTCTGCTCCAGCCTTTCCTGGGTACATGGAGGGAGGGAAGGTGCCAGCACTTACTGAGCACCTGCTACCAATCCCGGCTGTGCTGGTCCTTTTCAGAGACAGCAACCTTGAGGAGAACCATGAGATATTATGATTCCCATTTTAATAGAGAGAAAATGAGGTTCAGAGAGGTTGAACAATTTGCCCATTGTCACACAGCAGGCAGGCACTGCAGGAGATGAAGGGAAAAGGCATAATGTTGATTCCAAATCCACCACATCCCAAGCCTCTCCACTGCTTCATGCTGCCTCCATCAAGTTCTCGGTCCCCAACCCTTTACTTAGCTGAGGATTCAACCATAACTCAGTGCCTCTCACAGTTCAGTGGGTACGCAGATCACCCAGGGATCTTGTTAGAATGCAGATTCTGATGCAGCAGGTCTGGGGTGAGGCCCAAGATTCTTCACTTGTTTTTTAAAGTTGATGGGAGATCTTGTTTTTGGTCCTTACTTATTAAGCAACCTATACAAATGGTTTTCTAAATCTACCGCGAGCAGCAGGGCACGCTAGTGCTGCTGCTCCACAGACCACACCTGGAGCGACAGGAGGCAAGTGGCCAAACTGTCGCGCAGAGAGCCTGGTGACGGCTCCCAGGCACAATGTCCACCTTGAGCCGCATGGATGGGCTCAGTGACCAGATCAAAAGGTGATGGTCCCTGTGTCCTGCACAGCTTCGGGATTCGGGGCCACTGCCCACCGTAGTTTACCCCAAGGAAACCCCAGGATGCCCAGGGGTCCATAACCACGAGGGAGAAGGACAGAAGAGAAGGCAGAGGCTTGGTCTGGAGAGGAGGTGGCCTGGGGAAGAGGGGGGCCAGGCTCTTGGGAGAAGAACTCCGAAGATAATTATTGCGACCAGTGGCTGGAAGTTACAGGGAAGCAAAGGGTCTGCTACACTGAAGCTCTTCTAACACTCAGAGCCTTCCAACAATGCACAAGCGCCCTACAAGCTCGCTGCCTCTGGAGGTTTTCACATAGAAGCTGAATCAACGCTTGTTACTATAGTAAAGAGTAGATTTCTAGATCGGGGCTGGAAATCAATTATCTTTTTCAACTCTGATGTTCCAGGATTCTAACTAGACTCATAGCTCGTCTTTGGAGAAAGCTTCAGCTGAAATTTCCCTGGTGTGTCCTTACACACCAGACTGCCCCGGGCGAATCCTGGCCTCCTTGGTACCTTTGGATCCTGGCTCTCTCCACCGACCAGCCTCTCTCGCTAACTGGAGAGTCAAGTTCACCCAAATAAGTTACCTGGTCCAGCCGTCCTCCAGCGCCTTGCTGCAGAGCTGTGGGGAGAGGAGCAGAGCCATCACCACACACACACTCCTAGATCTAAGCAGCACCTTGGCCATCTCTGATTTGGCTTCACAAATGCTACGGCTGTACCATGAACCAGAAGAACCACCATGTGTTGAAATTCAGAGCAGAAACAGCTTAGCCAACAGAGCAGGACCGCTTGGTGACTTTCTTTCCTCATCTCTATGGGAACCATTTCATTAATGGTCACAACATTCCTGGTTGGGGAATGGAGCATTTCTGTCCCTCTTTTTAAAGCCAGGATGTTCTGTGGCATCCACAGGAAGAGTGGATAAAAGAGTAATGAACAGAAGCTAGTCTCCCCTCTCTCTCGCTCTCAGCGGCAGGTGAGCACAGGGTGATGGGAAAGGGCAGTAAAGCAGGCAGGCGCTGACCACCCACCAGGTGCCACCATGTGCTGCGAGCATCACACCACGGCAGCATTCATCGGAATCCTCAAACCCCCTCCACCCCGGACAGCTATTATTTCCCCACTTCGCAGTGAGGAAACTGAGGCAGAGCACGGTTAGGGCTCACATTGCACCATGTTACGCTGCTGCCTCTGCCCGGGAATCAGCTTCCCCCTCCAGGGCCGAGGTGGGGCTCACCAGCTCACGGGCCCAGCGTCCACAACGGAAACAGCTTTCCTTTTGCTCACGTCCAAGGACCTCCAGGGCAAGGCCTGGGATCCCTAACGATTCAGAAAGGCTAAGAGGAAAACATGACGTCCCTCCAGAAAGCCTGTCTAGAAACCCAGGTTCAAGCGCCCACCTGCTTCAGCGTGGTGTCCGAGTAGCCCAGCCAGGCGCACGACGTGGTGTAGGCGGGGTAGCCGTGCGCCAGCATTTGCTCTTCTGTGGAAACACAACGCTCGTCAACATTTTGTGTTTGCGGGACCTTCAGCTTTAGACTTGCCCGTGGCTAAGGCGCTGCCCATGGAGAATCCAGCTGTTCTCCTGCCCGCCCTGCACAGGCACCTGGAGGCAGTGCGGATCCCAAGGATGTCACACCCAGGTCCCGGGATACCCTCTGGGACGCCCTGCTGGCCAAGGCCTTGCCCGTGGCGTGTGGTGTAACCCTAAAAACAGCCTTGCTCCCAGCAGTGGCCGAAGTGAACTCTGACCTAAGAGGTCACACCAGGAGGCCACTGCATCTAGACTCAACCGTCTGTCAGTGGGCCTGCTGCAGGGGGATTATGTGAACCCCTGGACACTCAAGGACGGGGACACTCAAAAGTGCACAATGATAACAAAAATAATGAAGAGAATTTCCTCACAACCCACCTCGCTCTTTTTTCCCAACTTGACCTTTCTGCAGGATTTCTGGAAAAAATAAAAAGCATTATCACTCTTTTAGACAACAAAGCACTCGGCCCTGTTGCTTCCATATAAGAATGGACCAGAAAGCTCCCAGTTCCTGGGGATGACTCACCATAGGCTTCCTCCTCTGTCAGGACGTCAGTGATGTACCTAAAATCTAGGCAGGATACCAGCTTCCCGGAGTCCTGGCAGCAAGACAGCAGGTAGGAAAGGCCCACATCAATTCACAAGTGGATTATGTTTCTAAGAATCTGCTGGACATGGGCTTATTCTGACCGGGAAAGGACCTTTGGGTCCCCTTCTCCTCCCTCCCCGAAGTCGGGGCTTTGGCCTCACTGGGGAGGCCCACATTCTAGGCTGGGTCTCTGGCGAGACCTCCCCACCCCAATCTAAGTCAGTCAGTTTGGAAGCAGGTTGTACTGTGACCAAGTACTCCACTGTAACCCTTAAATATCATAAAAGCTCTCAATGCCGAGATTCTGCTTCTTTTAAGACCACTGGCATTGAAACAGGGAACAGGATCCAAAAGAATGAAAAGTCCACAGGTGGGATTTCAGGCACCTTCCTAGTGGCCCCAAATCATTCAGTTCTGGGGGCCACCTCCAGCACCCCTCTGAGAGGCCAACCTTGAGCCTGCAGGTGGCTCAAGAGGTCCACGTCCTTCCCCTTCAGATGGCGCCCCCATGCCACCCGCAACCATGTCAGAGAGATGATGTTACAGCCTCTCATTTTCACTTTCCTCCAGAGAAGAGACAACGTCTGCCGGCCCAACAGTCTTCAAGGCCATGGTTCTTTGTTTTTTCTTTTTAGTAAATTTATTTATTTATTTTATTTTTGGCTGCGTTGGGTCTTCGTTGCTGCACGTGGGCTTTCTCTACCTGCGGCGAGTGGGGGCTACTCTTCGTTGCGGTGCGCAGGCTTCTCATTGCCGTGGTTTCTCTTGTTGCAGAGCACAGGCTCTAGGGCACACGGGCTCAGTAGTTGTGGCTCGTGGGCTCCAGAGTGCAGGCTCAGTAGTTGTGGCACACAGTCTTAGTTACTCTGCGGCATGTGGGATCTTCCTGGACTAGGGCTCAAACCCATGTCCCCTGTACTGGCATGCGGATTCGTAACCATTGCACCACCAGGGAAGTCCCAGGACCTTCGTTTGTTAACCACCAGATTTTCAGCAACCATCTAAGGCATCACCCCAAGCAAGATGATGCTCAGAGAGGTTAAGCAGCATGCTCAAGGTCACATAGCCAGGAAGTGGTGGAGTCCAGATTCAAAGCCAGGTCTGCCTGGGTCTGAAGTTCACTCCCCTTAACCTGCCCAGAGTTTTTTCCTCCTTGGCAGCCAGGTGCTCATCCCTGATATCAATAGGTCAAGGAGAAAGGAAACGGCAGGGGCACATCTTTAGAATTCACTGTGGGCTCCTTGCTCAAGAGTCTGATCTGCCATTTGCTCTT